GTATTTGAGACTCCTGTAGTCACCTGTTATGCAGCCACTATGGGTCATGTTCATGACTGAGATTTGGCCATGGGAAAGGATGGTTGGGTTCAAGGTTGGGGAACAGTCATCTCCTGCTCCGTGAAGTAGAAACATGTCAGAACGGCCCAGGAAGGAAGCCCACCTACAAGTCCAGGTCCTCTGGGCAGTGGGATCTGAGAATCCAGCAGAGGGAAGAGCAGGGCCCTGGGAACCAGCCGGCCTGGGTTTCAGCCCCAGCTCTGTCCCTTTCAGTCTTCTAAACATTGGCTTGTTTTTGCCCCCATCTTTCTGGTTTTGCATTGGCTCCCTCATGTATCCAGCATGGGAGGGAGGGTCTGCGGGGTACAGGGTGAGCCCCCATAGGGCTCAGCCAGGCGCATCTGCAGGTGGTACCCACGAGGTGAAGCAGCACCCCTTCTTCTGGGCCCTGGACTGGGCAGGGCTCCTGCGACACAAAGCTGAGTTCGTGCCGCAGCTCGAAGCCGAGGATGACACCAGCTACTTCGACAGTAGGTGGGGGTGTCAGGGGTGGGGGGACTGTCAGCCAGGGGCTCCACCCAAGCTTGGCACCTCACCCTGGGCCTGGAGCTTCCGACTTCCTGAGCTTTCCGAGAATCTAGGGCATGTCTGCTGATCACTCCCCTGGCTGGGATTTCCTGTGCGTCTGGGTTCAGGTTGCTCCCCTCAGATTTCAGATGGGGAAGCCAAGTCACTGAGTGTGGCCTTGGCTGGGGTCCCCTAGCAGGGTCAGCCTCCTGGGTGTCTGGCCCTAGCCAAGCATGTGGCCTACGTGTCATGCAGGAGGGTAGGGTGCTGGTGCAGATGGGCTCCAACAGCTCCCTCTCCCCACTTGGGGGTCCAGCCTCAGCATACAGGGCCTCCTCCAGAACTTACTGCATGTCAGAGTTCTCCTCTGAGCTTCTGTGTCGTCTTCTGTAAAATGACAAACATCTTTACATTTGAGATGTACAATTTTACCTAATTCTGGGCGACCCATTTCAAGGGTGAGTAAACCAAGGCTGAGGAGACAAGAATTCCATGGTCCCACAGCTTTTAGGGACACGGCTAGGATTTATTCCCAGACACGTGCTCTGCCACCCAAGCCTTCTGTGGTCCCCAAACACACCAGACCTGGTCCCACTTTGGGGCCTTTGCCGTGGGCGGTGTCCCCATCCAGCCTGACACACCCTTCCTGCATCACCACACAGCCCCTGAGGTCACCTGTTGGTGTCAGGTGGGCCACACAGACCTCTCTCTCCCACAGCACGTTCGGAACGCTACCGCCACCTAGGCTCTGAGGACGATGAGACCAACGATGAGGAGTCTTCCACAGAGATCCCCCAGTTCTCGTCCTGCTCCCACCGGTTCAGTAAGGTGAGCTCTGGGCCCAGGACGCAGCCAGTGCTCAGGAAATATTCAAGATGTTTGTGTGTCTATCCATTTATCCTTTGGTGGCCATTTGGGCAGTTTCCACCTTGTGACACTTAATACAGCTGCTATGCTGGGTGGTGTTTTATAGTTTCACAAGCCGAACTTAAATTCCTTTCTTTGTTTATAATTTGATCAAAAAACCTAGGGCAAGCCCGTGGCTCACTTGGGAGAGTGTGGTGCTGATAACAACAAGGCCAAAGGTTCGGATCCCTATATAGGGATGGCCGGTTAGCTCACTTTGGAGAGCGTGGTGCTGACAC